CAACAACAACAACAACAACAATCATAGCCTTTGACTGCTTACCTTGTACCAGAGACTTATCATTTTACATGCACACACCTGATGTAATCATAAGAATATTATGGCGTAGGTACTATTACCATTCCATTTTATAGATGAGAAGGTTGAAGCTCTAAGAACATAAGAAACTTCCCAAGGGTACACAGGGTGCAAGAGGTTAGAGAAAGATTTAACCCAAAGCTGCCTGACTCCAGAGCCTAGGTTCTTCTTTATCAAGTTGTTGGGTGGGGAGGGGGATACAAAATAATGACCATAAAGTACTTAATACAAGCCTTGGCATACAATGAGTACTCAAAGAATGTTCACTAACATAACTCTTTTCAGCTTCTATCAGTGGCATGTGCCTCTGAGCTCCTTTAAGGCAGGCTTTTCTGGATTTCTTTTCTTCCTGCTTATCTCCAGAGTTCCTGAAAGTAGGGGCCTTCTGATGGACTAGTGACCAGTTCCAACAGGAACAACCTCCATGGGGACCTGGGTGTCCAAAGCAAGATGAAGCTAAGTCTGGCAGGTGCTCATCCTATAAATAGCCATATTTGAATAAAACATCTTCTTTGAAGGATTTCTCATCAGCTCTGAGCTACACGGTGGACACAGCATGAGAATGTTCCTGGAGGGTGGCTGGACCATCCTGGAGAGTGGTTGAAATTTGAGGGCCTGGGTATGTCATTGTGACTGACCACAGCCCTGATAAGATACCTCCATCTCCATTCAGCCACTCAAATGTTTAGTAACTGACTCACAGCAGAGGTATACTGTATACTTTGGAAGGACTGCACATAGGGGAGGCACCTGTCTACTTCTTCAAATCAAATTAAACAGAGACATGGGAGGCAAAATTGCAGCTTCCCACCAAGACCTGGCTGGATGGGGAGCAAAAGATGCTGCTGATACATGGCTACCTCTTGGTTCTCAGATCAGAAGAGTCCTCATAATACCCATAAACACTGACTTAATCTTGATGGGTTTAATCTCACCTGTTTCGCTTCAATACCTTTCATCATACATTCTCTCGACCAAAACTCCATCCTTTTGCAGACCAATAAGTGAACCACACAGACACTCAACTTGAGGGTATGAGAATCAGGAAGTGAAAGAGAATCAGCTCAGATCTAGAAACTGACCTGTCAGGTTTCACAGGCTGCTGGGCAGAAAGCCAAAGGCCAGTCAACAGGGGCAGCAGGCTGCTTACCCCCAGTGTGGCTGCTCGCCCAGAGCCATAAGCTGCTGCCTCACCAGAGCCACCTCCTCCACGATCTGATGCCACAACCTCCCCTCTACCCTTGGGCTCCTCTGTCCCTTCCCTAGTTCCATGCTTGGCCCACAGGCAGGGATTTTGCAAAGGGTTCCTGGATGTGATCCTGCCAACGGCTGGCTACCTGTGTGGGACCTGGCTTCCACATCTGCTCCCAGAAGCCAAAGGATCTCCTGTGTGCAGCTTCATGGTACCCTGCTTGGTATCTTCCCTGACCAAACACAGAGAAGGCAGGAAGGACAACTGGGAGAGACACAGACAGAAGACAGTCTTTGGTCCAGCCCTCCATCTTTAAACACACACTTCTGTTTACTGACCCGGGCAGTCTAGGAAACAAGACTTTTATTTACTTTTAAAAACAGTGTCTGAACACTTAAAACAGTAGAGAACAGAAGCAAAAAGGGCTGCTTTCTTACCCTTCCCCAACCCCCAAAGGTGAAAAGCAAGTTTAGCAATCCTTCTCTGCCTGAGCAGGTAAAAATGTTTCTAATTTTCTGTGGGGAATCCTATGAGAACTGGGACACCTGGCTGTGGACCAGGGTTCAGACCTCGTAGGAGGTAGGGCCAGTCTGGGTACAGGGTGTGGAGCCCCTGCTGATACTGGAGGCAGCTCCCAGGAGGCCCAAGAAATGGGCAGCCTTCCAGAAAAAGGCTGGACCAGGTAGAACCTGAGAGGTGGAGGGGGTGAGAGGTTAGAGGTGTGACTCGAGCGTTACCTGCAAGTGGTGTGGTGGCACCTCTCTGCTTTGAGATGGGGAGCTGCAGGCACATGTAACAAAGTCATAGGCTAGGTTAGATGGTGGTGTTCATAGGTACCTTTAAGAGTTAAGGGATTTAAGACTAGGATGACAGGCGGCTTCTGACATTGTCTCCGTGGGCCTGGAGGTTGCAGGGGACCCTTACATGACCTCTTCACAGTAATTTTGTATGTGAGTGTGGTTTATGTGTATGGTATATGCACACATGCATGTAGATACATGCACCTCTGTGTGTGTGTGTGTGTGTGTGTGTGTGTGTGTGTGTATAGAGGCCAGGGGTAGATGTTCAGTGCCCTGGTCTATCACATTCTATCTTATTCCCTTCAGACAGGGTCTCTAACTGAACCTGAAACTGAGTTGGTAGCCAGCAAGTCCCCCAAACCCCTATCTGCACCCCCTACAGCACTGCAGTTACAGGTGCAAATGCGGCCACGCCTAGCTTTTAAGTAGGTGTTGGGATGCGAACTCAGGTCCTCATGCTTGCACAGCAAGCACTCTTACACACTGAGCCATCTCCCCAGGCCCCTTCTCACAGTAATTAGACCCTAGCCCACTGACAGAGCTGGGGCTCAGTACTTCACATACACTGTGCATGCTTTTAAATCTTCACGACTCTATGGAACAGGTTCTATTTTTGTGCTCTTTCATGAATGATGAAATTCAGTTCCAGAGAAATTAAACAACCTGCTGAAGGTCACTCAACCAGAAGGGGGTGGAATTGGGATATCAGACTCTTTCTGCTAGACTCCCAAGACTGCACCTCACCACTAAAGTGTCTGTATTTGAATCCCTCAGAAACCCATACCACTCCTGGGAAGAAAGACAGGTCATCTTGAAAGTTACCATGTTCCAAGGCCAATGGGAAAAAAATGTGCTGGGCTGAGTATTATGGACAGTGAATGGCGGGGGGCATACTACACTAGGCATCTTCAACCCCCAGCTCTTGGGCCATGAATGTCCCAGATAAGCTGTGACTGCAGCCCAGCATATTTGTAGATGACAGTGTCACACAACAATGTCAAAATGTTAGAGGCCCCTGCTGCATCCCCCGGGTTGAGAGACTGCCATAAAGGCAGGTGTTACGTTATTTCAAACATTCACAGGTGGGTGGAGTGCTGCGAAGGGGAAGGGCAGAGTGGAAACACACCTCTGCAGGATGGAAGGGCCTGGTAATCTGAAGTAGACACCTTCCTGGAAGAGTGACATTTAAGCTAAAACCTAAAGATTGGGAGTTTCTAACCTCAGCACTATCAGCATTTGAGGTCAGCTAACTTTGGTTATGGGATGATGTGTTGTGGGCTGTGGGCTGTTCAGCATCCCTGGATTCTACTCAGAAGATACCAATTATGAAGTGGACAAATATCCCCAGATGTTGCCAAATGTCCCTGGGGAGGTAAAATCACTCCTAGGGGAAGGTGAGAACAGTTTTCGGGGGGGGGGTGGAATGATGATAAGGAACACACACACACACACACACACACACACACACACGCATGAATGCATAGGCAAGGCATACCTGAGGGATTCTGGGAAGCCCTACCAGGCTGTAACAAAGAGCCAGATGGGAAACCAAAGAGACAAGCTGGAAAAGAAGAAAGCTAGCCAGGCAGGCCTTTTTGGTCTATGGTGGGTTCTGGGACTTTAAGTCAAGTGAGGATTTGGAGGGTGAGATGGTGAGTGGGTAACTAGACTGGGTGCAGACAGTCAAGAGCATGGGTCGATGTGTGTGCCCAGGAGGTGGAACCAGCACCAGGGAACCACTGCTGGTTTCCTCTGCAAGTTGGAGCCCTTCATCCACATCTTCCTTGTCCTTTTAGATTTACTGGTGATGGAGAATTATCCTTTCACATTGCTGCAATCTGGTCTCTGAATTAAAGTTTATAGCACAACAGAGTCCATGCTCTGCTAAGGCACAGATCTGGACTGAGAATCAGAAGAGTAGGGTTCTGGGCCCACTTCTACCTCTAGCCAGAATGACAAAAATCACTTTCCCTTTGTAGGCTGTGATTTCTCATCTGCAAAACAAGGGACCTATACCCTGCTAAAT